ATGTCCTTCAACGCACATATTAAACAAATATGTAGGACTGCTGACTACTGCACAAGTTACACACTTGTGAATCTGCTGACTGTTCTTGTTGAATTCAGTTGCATAAATCCACACAGACCAGCAGGTCAGCTGATCACAGCCTGTACACTAAGAAAACCTGTTGAAGCTCACGTTAGAAATGTCTGTGAGTTGTGATTCTTTTCCCTGCACACATCTTGGGGTTTTCTGACCTGCTGAATCTCACTTTAACCCTTGGCTGTACTTTTACTTTTTAGGTGTGGTTAAGTGCCCCTATACAATGTAAGCAACAGAAAATAGTTTTGGGGTTTTTTGTGTACTTTTCCACCCTGCAGCGCAACATTTTGCAGCAAAATGTCACACTTTTTTCTGTTTGGGTGCCTTGCTGCTGAAATGATAAGTGTGTGCCGCTATTGGTGTTGGATCATGTGTGAGTTTGTGATGTCCATCTCTAAGTGTGCTCTCTTAGAATGCCGCTGTATTATAAATGGTTAGAGGTATGAGCAGTAGTGTTGAAGCAGTCACTTTTTAGATGGCACAACTTCACAGCACACAGCGCGCTCTGGAAATAGTTTTGGACTCGAGTATGAAGATGGCGCCTCGTGCTGAGGACTATAAGGCCTCAGAGGCAGAGAAAGACCAGCTGGAGTCTGACTCATCTAAAGGTAAGAGTGAAGAGGCAATGGTTGAAACAGTTACAGGATGGACTTCTCCATAGTTTGGTCTCCCACAAAGACAGCAATGCTCTGCTATGTCCCACCAGCCAGAGGGTTGATCCTGGGACCTACACACAATCAAATCAAATGTATTTGTAAGCACACTTAAAAACAACACAGGTTGAGCCAAAGTGCTGTACATAATAGAGATAAAATAGTAAACATATATAATAATTACTATAAAAGACTCGTCATAATTGAAAGCTAGAGAGTACAAATGTGATTTCAACCGGGTTTTAAAAATGTCGAGTGTTGGCGACGACCTAACGTGAAGGGGCAGACTGTTCCAGAGTTTGGCTGCAGCGATCACAAAAGCTCGGTCACCTCTGTTTCTCCGTCTAGTTCCCTGGATAGTCAGAAGGGCTCTACTTGGATTATTCCCACAGAGCAGACAGGTCTGGCCCGGATCTGGTGTCAAGCCGGCACTGCTGGCTGGCTTCTGGCGTGGTAAGTGGTATGTCATCCAGATGTGGGCCAGGCCTGGCATAGATGGCACTGTGATGGCATGCCACATTTGGCTTGATTGTGGTTTGGTTTATGTGGCCCAGGCTCATATAAAACAGGTCTGGCCCGGATCCGGCATCAAGCTGGCACTTCCGACTGACTGATGTCATGGCAGGGTGTATGTCAACCAGATGTGGGCCAGGTCTGGCAATGATGGCACTATTTATGTTCCTATTTTCCTGTTTTAGTTAGAAGACCCAAATGCCATGTTGCAATACTATACTGCTATGGTAGCCAATGTTTCAAATGCAGGTTTGACAGGTTTGTGAGTGTACACAAAATCACTGTATCCAAAACCTAGTCAAAGGAGCTTGCAAAGAAAAGCGTCTGGACTTCTTTAAGTTGCTTGAAGACGTTTCACCTCTCATCGAGAAGCTTCTTCAGTTCTAAGGTCAAATGGTGGAGAGTCCCAGATTTAAACCTAGTGGGAGTTTCCCCCCACAGAGGGACAAAAGGACCCCCTGATGATCCTCTAATCACCTGAGGTGTGAAACTGGGTGTGGGTCCCAATCAGCCAGAGTTTCAGGTGAGCTCATTGTGAAACCTGGCCCCACCCTATTATGTGATTTCCTGAGGTCAGATGGCCCAGGATGTGAGTGGGCGTTAAGGCATCTGGGGAGGGAACTCAAACCTTCAAACTCAACTCAACCTCAGGAATTCGCATGATAAGGTGGGGCCAGGTTTCACAAAGAGCTCACCCGAAACTCTGGCTGATTGCGACCCACACCCAGTTTCACACCTTGGCTCAGGCGATTGGATCAACCCCTGGCTCCTCAAGAGCACTTTGAGTAATCCAGGAGAGTAAAGAAGCAGTGTGTAAGAATCAGTCCGTTCACTGTCTGAACAGTTTCGTCATGTTACTTTTGCACTATTATGTTCCGGCACATGTTGTTATTACATGGCTTGATTAAGGTACACATTAGGCTGACATCTGGGGCCAGAGCTGAAACTGTTCTGGGCCAGCACAGGGTCAGCAGTGTGTCTGGCCTTGTGCTGGCCCATGTGTGGGCCACCTCTGGCAAACCATATCTGGGCCACCAAACCACATTGTGTGGGCTGTACCAACTTTGCTATGTAGGCAGTAATACTGTGAGGACTCTTGAGTCATCATCAACCAGGACACGTCCTTCAGTGTGCATGGAAGAAGTTTGAATCTTTAAGTGGCGTCTCACTTGGTGTTGGCTCTTTACAGTAGAGTATCACTTCTTGTTCCTGTTACAACACACAGTAGCTTATCTGTGTGTTGAAAACTTAGTTAATATCTCATGTCATAGTGAAGTCTTAACCTGTAAATAACATTCATAGTATTCAATCACTTGATCTTTAAGGATTTCAGTAGCTTAGTACACCACCACAGTCCTCATCTCTAATCGACAACACTGAAGCTGCTGGCTAAGGGTAAACAACGTATAATTGTAATCACGTTGGCAATAACGACACCTGGTTACATCAATCTGAGATCATTAAAATCAATATTAAAGCAGTGTGTATCTTTGCCAAAACCCAAACTGGACCAGGAGTGACATGTTTAGTTGCACCTTCTCCTT